AGAAGGAAAGAAGGAAAGAAGGAAAGAAGGAAAGAAGGAAAGAAGGAAAGAAGGAAAGAAGGAAAGAAGGGCAGTTTGGATCAGAAACAGATCCCACTCCCTGCCTTTCTCCATGGTGTCTTAAACCTCTCTTCTGTTTCCAGATTTTCTTCCCGTTCCCCTAGTTACTCGCCCAAATCCTGCAAGAGAGCAACTGGAAGCAGAATTTCAAGATCCCGACGGAGTCCTAGCTATTCTCAATATAGGGCTGGCAGGTAGGTCTAAATATCCCCCACCCAACTGACCACCTGTTGCAAACCCACCCACTGCCATGGGATCCATCTTGCTGCTTTCAACCCTGGGCTGTTGTAAGCCCAGGACTCTTGTCTGCGGGGGAATCCCATCAAGAGGATGCTCCCCACCGGCCCTTCAGTTCTTCCAAGGCCTTTCTCATGGCTCTTTTCCTCTTTCCCCTCCCATGTCCTCTTCCTTCTTCCCTTTGTTTCCCATCTTGATTACAAACGAGCGGGGCAGAGGATGGGTTCTCTCTCTTGCCGTAGGATGGGCAGGGGGGAAGCTCGGAATATGTCCATTCCATCTGCTGGAAGGTGCAACATGTTGACCACAATGAGCAATGCGCTGAAATAATGTTGTGGACTCCAACAAGCCATACAAGCCAACTTCTCAGGGTTGGTGGGCTACACTGTGGGCTCACCAGTCTTGGTTCCAAGCCCCACCATCAAGACAGTGAGCTGCCTCCAACCTCTCTGGGGACTTCTTTTCTCAGGGGCCGGGAACAAGATCACAATTATGGCTCCAGCAGGAAGGAGTCCCACAGGCATCAGGACCGCCGCCGGCGCAAACAATCTTATTCCCCCATGAGGAAGCGTCGGAGAGATTCTCCCAGTCACTTGGAAGCACGGCGTATAACCAGGTGAGGGGGTCTTTCAGCTCCTCCCCTTAAACGTCCCCCTCTTTTGGGCAGGAACAGTGACCCATGGTGTCACATGGTGACCTTAAACTCCTCCTCGCCAGCTTTGCAAGTTTGTTATGCAGCTTCATGGAGGCAAGAAAACAGGTTATTTTGATGGGAAGAGACATAAATGGGATTTTATTCATGTGCCCGTGCGTGTAAAGAGAGACGGAATCAGAGTTAGAACCAATCGCGCCACAACAGTCTATACTATGCTCATCCTGATGACACATGCTTGGGTTTTATCAATTGTTTTACACTTCATGAGTCATTTGCACTGCCCTTTCAGATAAGTAATAATAATGATGATGATAATAATAATAATTTAATAAATGTAGATGCCACCCGACTCCCAGAGACCCAGTGTAAAGAACATCACAATCTTTTTTAATCCCCTCTGTTAGCAATGTTTGAGAGGTGAGTCCTTGTTTTCACATAGCCACAAAGAAGGATGGAGTAAAATAGGTTTGCAGAAGTATTATTATTATTATTATTATTATTATTATTATTACCCACAGGGAATGGTCAAAATTGTCTCAAGATGGCAGGCTCAAGATGACTGCAAGAGTGCAATCAAAGCTCCGCTTTTTTTTATGTGAGTTGCACACATCAAATGCAGGTCGCACTTATTTTCTAAGCCATCCAGAATCCACTGGAGTGGCTGGCTACATTAAATCTAAAAAATAGTAATAATAAAGCATGTGTTGATGTACATAAAAATCAGGTGGAGCTTTGACTGCATTGTTGCGACCACCACCTTGACTTTTTTGACCACATGGCTGCCCTCAAAGATAGCTCCACTTAAAAGCTCACTGAAGCCCAGTTAGCCACAAAGTTCATCATCAACATCATATATTAAATTTATATCCTGCCTGACTCCCAGCGACTCTGGGCGGTTTACAACTGCTAAAATGTTTAAAAACAAAGGACAATACCAAAACCACAAAAACAGCACAAGACAAAAGAACAACGATGAGAAAGAAATCAAGCTGAGAGAAGAACAGGAAGGAAGAGAAAGAGGAAAGAAAAGGGAAGGGAAGGGAAGGGAAGGGAAGGGAAGGGAAGGGAAGGGAAGGGAAGGGAAGGGAAGGGAAGGAAAGGAAAGGAAAGGAAACT